TTTGCCAATTCCGAAATGGCTCAAATGGAGCACACGGAGCTGCGCTTTAAAGCAATGTTTTTAAGAGAAGGCACATTTCAAAGCCTCCCATCCCGGCTGGAGGATTTTAGATGCTGCCACGCAAAAAGTGGGAAGTGACTTTTTCCAAGCTGTGCTTTGAAGATCTCTCTTTCTCCCCAGGATGCTCACTGTATCTTTCCTGGGTCCCCCCCCCACACACTTTTAACCGAATTCCTTCATGCCTGCACCACCTGGCGCTGCTTGGCATGTGTCCTTGCTCCCTAGGGGGGTGGTTTATCCCAGTTGTAAGGGATTGCAGTGGGGGTGGGGGGGGCTCCTAAGAAGCACCCCCACCTCGAAAAGCAAAGCTCTAGGAGGAAACTGAAGGGCAAAGGTTCTCACCCAAGGATTTCAACTTTCCCCCCAGAGCAGAACAGGATTCCAAGGGACTGAACACAATCCACAAAATTGTTTGGCACCTTGGACAACTCTTTTAAAGTTTGGACTGAAACCCACAGCGGAGTCGTACCCGCCCCGCCCCCATGAACGTGGGCATCTCCCAACCCGCTTGGCCTCCGGCCCTTCCACACGAACCAGGATTGGACACGTTTGACGACAGTTACCTTGGAGGCAAGCGTACAGGATTTCCGGCCGAACCACCACATAGGCGGCTGTTGGATCAAAGTAGCAAATGTTTTCAATCAGTTCTCCGTCAAACTTCTGTAGAGTGAAGAGGAGGGTCGGGGGGAAGAGGAGAGGATCAGAAAGGGATGAGAAAGACCACCCAGAGTCACAAGGATATGTGGGTTCATGTGAAAAGTAAAACAGCAAAGGAAAGGGAAAGATGCGTCACTACCCGTGGTCCTAAGAGCTGGAAGAAGCGAGACCTGAAAGGAACCATACAGTCCTGTATGTTTTGTTTTAGGGTTGCTGGTGTTTTAATAGGGTCACCCTGCCATAATCTGTTTTACATCCCCATTACGATGCCCAGGGCTGGTTAAGGTGGGTCCGTCTTTTGCAGGGCCCATCATTAGGAGGGTCACCAAACCTAAAGACCGGCCGTTGCCTCTCTTCCATCCAGGGACTTCAAAGCAGCGGGCTCGGGGGGCCCCCAGAACTGACGGCACCATCAGAACTGCCCTACGCAGCCCCCCCCAGGACTTGCCATGGTTTTGTCATTCTCTTCCCTGGACAAGTTCAGGGCCCTTTGCCTCTCTTCCATCCAGGGACTTCAAAGAAGCGGGCTCGGGGGGGCCTCCAGAACTGACGGCACCATAAGAACTGCCCTACGCAGCCCCCCCCCCAGGACTCACCATGGTTTTGTCATTCTATTCCCTGGACAAGTTCAGGCCCCCACCCCAAAGGAACCTGACATGCGCATCCCATAATCTGGACCTGTCGTCGTCTGTGCAGGTTACGTGGCGCCCGCCCGCTGTGAGAGCTAAGATCCCCACGGGCGTGTCGGTTCCGAGTGATTTGTTTGCCGTTTGCCAGTTTGCCTCCTGGAGGCAGAATCGGAATCAGAAGGAAGAAGGGGCTTGGGAAAAATGAGGGCAGAAGATTTGGTGCTGCATAATCATGTTTTGTTCACTCGATAGTAAAGAGTGCGACACTTGGGGGGAGGGCTTCTCAGTTATTAACGCCTCCCTTGACAAGTCCCTGTTCTTGGGAGAGTTTTTGCATTCCCCTCCTGAGTGTCTCCCAGAAAGGCTCTCAAGCCTCACTTGGCACTTCTGACCGGAGCAGGTTGGGACACTGGTTCGAAACATAGGAAACGCACTGGTGGAATTGGGGGTGTCCCATTTTACGTGGGGCCAGAGCTCTTCCGGTAAAGCTCTACAGCTAGAAGTAGAAAGGGTTCAATTCATTTCCCTCTCCCTGATTTTCTGCATTGTATCTTTTAGGGCCAAACGGCATTTCCATGAGACTCCATGAGTCTGATTGCCACGGCAGGACTTTTCCTCACCTCCTGTTGTTTGCAGACTAGCTTGCTCTGTTCTGTCATTGGTCCTCTGGGTGTAAACATGGGCTCAGTTTACATTTCTGATTTCTCAGGCCCAAAGACCGCCTAGAGTCATGTCTCTGAAATGCTATTGTGATTTCACCAAGAGTTGTGTGTGACCCTCTGACGTACACCTTGGCCCTTCATGAACCCTGGGCCGTGATCTGGAGCTGTGAAACTCCACCCCTGCTGCGCCCGCGGTCCCGCTTTGGGTTCTGCTTGCTTGGTCCCCACCTGTATGCAACACTTCCAGTTCTCGACCTCCTCCGTACCGGCCCACTGTGGGTACAGGACCAACAGGACGCTCTTCAGTATGGTATGCACCAGGGGCGGAGGCTGTTGAAAGCACTGAATTTCCCCAAAGCATAGCCACGGGTCGAGATTCCAGATGCAGTTCTGCAAATCCTGCAGCATGAATCGGTAGAAGAGGACTCCCCCGCGCCTCCAGTCCCCTACGTACTCCGCCTCTGGAACGAGAATGCAACATGGAAGAAGGGCTGTCACCGGCCTTTGCAGATCCTTCCGGGGAAGCTTTTGAGTCAGTGAGCACACCTGGAGGCATGCACAGCAAAAAACAACAACAACAGAAGCTTCTCTCAGCCAACTGACCCTCTCAGAAACAAAGCAAGGAGAGGCTTTGCTCCAAAGGGGCAACGTCTCCAGAAACAACCCACCCGTTGTAACATGATCCAGTGAGATCATCATCATCTCAGCTGCACAGCTGGAAGGGACCCTCAAGTCCAGCTCCTGACAAGGAGGCTCAGAGAGGGAATCGAACTCCCCACCTCTGACCTCCACAGCAAGATGCCCAAACCACTGAGGCCGTCAGAGTGGTTGCTGGTCATCCTAGGTATGGTTGATCACAAACGAGACGATCAGAGCACCCCAGGGTCGTGCCTGACTTACTGAAATGTTCACAGCTTTTAAAAAATAAATAAAACCTGTTCGAGACAACTAAGATACCCACAGGCCGTTTCTCTTGGTACAAAATAACTACCACCCTCTGTGGCCGATGAGGAAATAACAGCACCCTCGGTCTGACACACACTCTAAAGCTGAATTCTAAGTCTGTCTCTCGGTTCCACCATTTCCAGGCCCTTCCCAATAACTGCTTTTCTCAATCCCTGGACTCTGAAGTCAAAAAACTTAAATTAAAAGTCAAGGCGTTTCTGAGCATCTACAGAGTGCATACTTCTTGCAATAAGAGATCCCCAGCTTGTTTCTACGCCTCTGAAGACTTACAGACGTTCACTCTTTTTGGCTTCTCCCGGTTTCTTTTAACGTGCTTAGGTAAAAGGTAAAGGTTCCCCTTGACAATTTGTCCAGTCGTGTCCAACTCTAGGTGGTGGTGTTCATCTCCATTTCCAACCCATAGAGCTAGTGTTTGTCCGCACACAATCCTCCGTGGTCACGTGGCCAGCGTGACTAGACACGGAAAGCCATTTACCTTCCCACTGAGGTGGTACCTATTTATCTACTCGCATGTTTGCATTTTGCATGCTTTCACACGGCTAGGTTGGCAGGAGCTGGGATGAGTGACGGGAGCTCACTCCATTGCGTGGATTCGATCTTACGACTGCAGGTCTTCTGACCTTGCAGCACAGAGACTTCAGCAGTTTAACCCGCAGCGCCACCACATCCCACTATTGATGTACTTATGAAACCAGCAAAAACGGGTCTGGAATCTCTCTGCCCCCCCAACCAGCCAAGCAGCTGCAGACTCGGGCTGCTTCCCAAAGCAGGTCCGTACCTAAGACGTAGTACGGCTCCAGGTCGCCACTGTCCTCCTTCAGAATCTCACATGTGGCAGCCTGCACCATCTTGAGCATCTTCTGGAGGTCTTTGTGTTCACAAGACGGCAGCCTTTCCCGGGGCCCTAGGTTGAGGTCAAAAACCAGAATGGCCTGACCCTTCGGATTCCTCAGCGGGACCGCAATGTGATGTTCCTGATACGCGTGTGCGGCAACCACAAGAGAAGAGTCTATGCACCTGAAGAGGTAACCTCTGGAACAGAAGCAGAGAGCCAGGAAGGGATCAGCCTCTGTCCTCCTCACCACCAGCCACTAAGCTGGAAGCCGAGGCGGAGGTACGGAAGCTCTGCAGACCTTGGGGGCTTCCTCTTTTGGATCACAGACTCCAGAATCCCCCAGCCGCCCATGGGGGAGATTCTGGCCGCCGAGGTCCGAAGAAAGGAACTCCTCCAGGCTGTGGTCACAAGACCCTTTGGAGTCTGGCCAGAAGTGCCGGATTCTCCCCGGATTCTCCACCCTTGCGGTCCGGTGAGCTTCATGGCCCTTGCTTCGGAGGCCAAAGGAGAGGCCTTCGGGCCAAATGGGAATGTGTCCTGATTCGGCGGCCTTCCCTCCTGACCGTAGGATCTCCTCAAAGACTCCGGCCTCGGCAGTTATAGCGGCAAAAGTATCCACCTGCCTCGACCCTCAAAGACCCCAGTCGGACCCTCGGTCCGGTGAGTAAATCTCATGAGGTCCTGGCTGAGCCTCGACAGCAGGAGGAGAACTCTTTTCTCCTCAGAACTTCACCCAAAAACAAATAAATAAATAAAGATTGCAGCTTTAAAGGAGGGCAGGCAGCATCTCGGCCAAGTTGAGCCTCTGGGAAGGCTGAGCTGGAAAGATAAGCAAGAGGCACTGGGGGACGATAGGAAATGAAGGAAATGCGATAAGGATTGGAGCAGAACCGAGAGGCGCTTGGGGAGAGCCTGCTTGGCATTCTTCCTCGTCCACAACACGCTTACTCCTGAGGAGGCTTTCCAAACCTCTGCTGAAATAAAGGCATAGGTGTTGTCTTTGATCCGTAATTACAGTTGGACGAAATGGGGGGGGCATAAATTCCCATGGAAATGAAGTGATTTTGGGCACACGGGGGCCCTGGTGAGGTAGCCCTGAAACTATGGGCTCCCCCCACCCACCCACCAGTGTGGGTATAAAAGTGAGCAGCCCCACGTTCATGGAAATGGTTATCTGACCAATGCTTGGAAAAGTCACTGGAGGGGCAGGGGGGGGGTTGCCTTCAAAATCTGCCACCCGGTGAACCCGTGGGCAGAGTGTTTTGGAATGAATTCTCAAAAAAACTGACTTTCTTGCAAGTTCGTATTAGCAACGGTCCCTGCATTGCCGGGTGGGCAGCGGTCCCTACATTGCCCAGAATGTTTTGGCAAGCCGGCCTGAATCCAGATGATCCGAAGGAGGGTCTCTCTTGCCTGGCTCCACCCACCCACCTGCCCAGGTGTCTCCATGAACGCTTCCCCTCCGCTCACCTGGAGAAGTTGTTTTCCTTCCTACTCAGCACGGGTGCTGGAGGTGGAGGGATGTCCACTGGGCCCTTCAAATCCGAACTCAACGCTTTGCGCAGGGTGTAATCGTACATCTTGGAAAGAGAAAAGGGGAGGCTTTGCAGTCCGACAGGGGAACAGCCCCCCTCCCTCAACGTACAGAGGAAAAGGGGAGACATTTTTATAAGAAACAGAGGAAGCGTTTGGGTTTTTTTTTCCCCCAAGGTCCATCCATCCATCTCAGCCGGGAACCGGTAGCTGGGGTTCTCCAGCAGAGATATGTATTGCTGATTAAAAGGAGCAGGGAGCACAGGAGGCGAAACACCTTTGCCGCCTGCTCTCGATTCCTTTCCATTCCAGATCCCTGGCCAGGACTGAACCCACAACCTTCTGTCCACATTAACGTCTCCTGCTCTGTGATTGACCTCTTGTGCCATCCCCTGGCGTCGGGAGGACCACGAAACGGCGCAACACCTCCCCCTGCTGGCCGGTCAAGGAATCCCTGCCTAAGTACAGCCAGCATCAGGAGAGGGAGGGGTGATGGGAGTCGTAGTCCGTCCATCTCTTGAGGACCACACTCTCCCCTGCCTGATTTATAGGGTGGATTGCTCCACACCCACCACCACCCCATCAAGGGGTCTGTGAACTCTTAGGGCCGTCTTTCTTTCCGGACGCCAGAATATTACCCGGTTCTCGCCAGGCTCCATAAAGTACGCCGTGATGCTCCGGAGGGCGGGCGCCCGGGCGGACAGCCACTCCAGGGCTGTGAAGATCACCTGCACGAGGCTCTCCCGGGTGCGCAGGTGGTGATAGGCTCTGCTGAACATATTCGCAACTCCCTGGGAAAGAGACGCATCACACAGGTTGTGCGGGGAGGGAGGGGGAAGTCAACGTAGCCCATAAAATCAGGGGGGCTGAGGATACAAAGCCCAGGCAAGGACCGCTCAGAAGCAGCAGACCTCCTTTTTAAAAAAATGCCCTGGGGTCCCTCGTGCCTACGTAAAGCACGTTTCAAATATTTGAAAGGCTGTCTGTCCTACAGAGGAGGGGCAGGATCTGTTCTCGGTCATCCCAGAGTGCAGGACAGGCCATCCTTGGCTCAAAAGAAGCCAGATTTTGGTTGAATACCAGGAAAAACGTCCTAACCATTAGAGCAGTATGACTGTGGAACCAGGTTGCCTCAGGAGTTGGTGAGTATTCAAGAAAAACTTCGACCATCCCCTGGCAGAGATCCTTGGATGTTCTTCCTGCATTGAGCAGGGGGTTGGACTGGATGGCCTTTGTAGGCCCCCTTCCCCCTTCCCTTTTCTATGATTCTATAAAGCCCTCTCTCTGCCCGATCCAGCCGGGTCGCCCATCCTTGCCTCGCGCTCAGGGCTGCCTCCCTTCCCAGGCATGGCCAGGTTCCTCGCGGGCCCCACCTGATAGAAGCGGATTTCGTGGGGGACAAAGAGGGCTCGGCCGCTCTTGTCCCGGAGGGTGTCCAGGCCGAGGACACCAAAGACTCTTCTCCGGATATCCTCCAAGGGCAGGACCAAGAAGGAGCCTTTCCTTTCTTTCACGGGGCGATCGTGGTTCCAGAAGTGGACATTTCCATGCAGCTGAACTCTGGGGACGTGAATCGGCTTGTCTTCTAATGCCGCTGCAAAGCTGGCAAACAAGAATTCAGCCGGGAAGAGGAAGAAGGGGAGGGGGAGAGGCCTCGGTTAGCCTCCAAGAAGTCCTTCCCTGATCACGAGACACAAACACAGCACTCAGGCCCTCACCACGCAGCGGCCACAATTGTCTCGCCTTCAGAGGGGTTTGGCTAAATGCCTTGTAATGCTGTGTTCTGCCCCCAGGTGACGCTGTTTCCCCCATAAGAGTTTGGGCTGCCTCCTGTCCTGCCAATTTCTGTTTTTTCTTTAAAAAAAAACTGCCTTTGTGTCAAAACACAAAACATGAAATGTATGCTATACCAGTCATAGAAAGGTATTAACAACTCGATGTGCAATCATTCCTTTGCTCAGGGCCCCCAGGCCCGCCCCCCTTTTCAGGGACCAAAGGATCAACCGTGTCTCCCACCTGAGGAACCAAACATTAATGTGGGAGCTCTCCTTACCTGACGCCGTTCATGTCCATGAAAAGTGTCTGGTTTAGCACGTAAGGAGCATCGTCTTCTGTGCAGGCCACATAGCGGAGCAGAACATCTCCCCGTGCTGGGACAATGAGGTTATATTCCAAAAGGGAGATGGAGGCGCTGATCTTCTTGCTGTCTCCATGTGCATCCGCGTCCTTATGAGAACAGATATGTTAGGTGACGTTATTTATATTTTATATATATATCTATAATATGCACTTCCAGCTTTCTTTTATGATCTTAGCAAGAGAGGCAAACAGCGACACCTAGTGACAGAATACAGTATTTGAGGTCTGAAGACAACCCTAGGTAAGATCCAGGACTGGACCTCATGGGATTGAGTTACTAAAGAGAAGATTTTGGCAGAACATTAGGAGAAAGCAATCGGTGAAGACCTTAAGATAGGGTGGATCCAGGTGGGTGGGTAACTCTCCCACATCTGAGCTTCATGAAGCAGAAGGTGGACATCTGTTAGCTACGGACGCCACGCATCGAACAAGGAGCTGGACGCCACCGTTTATAAGGCCCGCTCCGGTTTCCTTGTGATTCGGCTGTCTGAATGATGCTTTTTTTTTAAATTGATGTGGAGACAAACTCTTTGCAAGATGCTTTGCAAACCGCTAGCTCAGCAGTGAACGCGGCCTGGATCTAACCCCCAAACGCCAGTCGTCCAGAGGGATCTCAAGGTTTTGAAAGGAGGCACCGGCTTTGGCTTGCCTTCGGCCCTTCGTTGCCTGAACCCAATGGTATTTAAGCGGGATGTACGTTTTTTCCCCTATAGCTTCCAGGGCTGAGGTGGGGCCCCGATTAACCCCATACCTGTCCCAGCCAGATGTCTAAGACGCCCCCTGCCACAAAGCTTAAATGCCCCAAAAAACACTGGGGCCTTTCTCGACTCTTAGGTAGAGGCGGATTTTGCATTGACTTTGTTCGTTGTGGGTTTATTTTTTTTCCTTGCTGAGGAGGGAGGGAGGGGCTTGGGAAGAGCTCACTGGGCTCCGGGCCCTGGGCTCCTTGGACTTAGGTGCTGCCTGGGGTGTATGTGTGTATGTGTGTGTGTTTGCATGTTTGCCTCGGGCTCCCGGCAGAAACACCGACCCGGCACAGGGCCTTGAAGACGGCTTGGTAGACGGGCTCCGGGCAGCCCCCGCTGGTCTTGGCCGCCTGCTCGATCTGGAGCAGCCACTTCCTCCGGGCGCTCCCGCGCAGCCGCTCCTGATGCGTGCGCTCCACCGCCATCATGAGGAACTCCACCATGTTGTCCAGAACTTCGTCTTCGTTTCCCGTCAGCTCGGAGACCACCAGCTCGACGTAGGCCTGGAAGTCCTTTTGGGTCAACTTCACGACCCCGCTGGGGTGCCACTGAGGGATGGGCAGCTGGAGCTTGGCTGCGGGAGAGGAGGAGGAAGAAGAGGAAGAGGAAGAAGAAGAAGGGGAACCAGGGCCCGGCCAGGGTGGGGTGGGACAGGGGGGAGAATGCTGCCAGCTGACAAAAGAACAGGCAAACCACTTCCCACCCTCCTGGCTGTCTGTCCTCCTCTGTCTGGCCCTGTGGGACTGATTCTCTGGGCAGCTGTCATTCATTCCCCACAAGGCCCTTGCAGGGAGGTCGCCTAGCATCGGCATGGGAATCCCCCCCTCCCTGCAAAAAGTGGCTCTCCCCCGAAGTTCAGGTAAAGCTCGCTGGTGCTTTGGGCCCCACCCTTTCCACCACTCACCCTCTCCCCCCCTCCTCCCGTCCCCACTGGCATGTGGTCTCCGGCGGTCTCCTCTGAAACCTAATGCAGCCACCNCCCCCCCAGGTAAGATCAGGTGTGCCTCTCCTGGTTCAGACCAATCCCGGACCCACCCACCCGAGCCCTTTTGCTGCCTGAGGCAAAGAGCGACATCACCGGCACTAGGGCAGCATCCTCCACCAGTCCTTAAAGGCAGCAGGCCGATGGCTGGGTGGGTGGGTGGAGGATGTAGACCATAGATCGTGTGATGTAACTTCGCAATCATCCTTCCCAGTCACCTTCTTGGTCCACCAAAGGCCCCAGGTCCAGTCCTCAGCATCAGCCGGGTAAAAACAATCCGCTAGAACAGAGCTTTTCAACCTGGGATCCCCGGATGTTCTTGGACTACAACTCCCATAAATCCTGGCCAGCACATCTCACAGTAGAGTCTTCTGGGAGTTTTACTCCAAGAAAATCCAGGCACTCATGGTTGGGAGTGGCTGACCTAGAAGGCGAGTCTTCCTCTTGATCTGCAGGAGACTCTGGAAGGCAACTGAAGGTAAAGCGGCCACCCATTCTGCCCTTCCTTTAAACTAATGAGGACTAGAGCCTTTTCCAAGTGCAATTGTCTTAGGTTTCACCAGGATATACCATATTTTTTCTCCGAAAAATTGAGGGTTGTTTTATACATGGAAGTAAGGAGGGGGGAGGGATCCACGCACATGGATCCCTGCTTTCCCCCTCCACTTTTTGCAAAGAAAATGGAGGGGGAAAGCACTGTCCTCGCAAGAAAATGGAGAGGGGAAAGTGATTCCTTCTTTCCCCCTCCACTTTATGCAGAGGAAAGCTGTTTTCCCCCTCCACTTTTTGTGAGGGGGAAAGCAGCTTTTTGCAAAGAAAGAAATGGGGGGGGGACGTTTTATACATCAAGGTGTCTTATTGTACACAGAAAAGTATAGTATTGTGTCCTTGTTTTGATCACAAGGGGGAGCTCTTGCATAGTTTTTCATTGACTCCCATTTGCTAGCAATGTCCGGGGAGAGCCGAAAAGCTAATATTTATTGTCTCTTTCTGCCTGTTCTTTTCCCGGTTTTGAAAAGTTCTGAGCTTCGGCTGTAGGTCATGCAGCCACATCCTATTTGAGGATCTTCCGAAATGAGATTCTGGGGGAAAGTTTTACGAATCATGTGGACATACAAGTGGGTCCTAGATCAAATCAAATCTTTGCAGCTCTGTCTGCGAAGGCCACTGCTCTTACCTTTGTTCAAGGCCTCCTGCTCCATCCCTTCCTTAAAAGTGGAGAGAACAGCGTCCACCTCTTTCATGTCTAGGAATCCGGAGCATTCATTATCCCACTTCTCAAAAAGGGCTGCCAGGAGGAGTTCCCGCCACGCTACAAAAGAATTCTGGCGCACCTGTCGGAGGAAAGAAAGCAAAAGGCAGAGGGATCGCCTATCCAAGTTTCTCGGTGCGCCTTCAAAGATCACAGCATAAATTTAAACAACAACAACAACAGCAGCAGCAGCAGCAGCAGCAGCACAGGCTGGAGATGAGTAGATGGGATACCAGGAAGCAAAAACTTCCGGAAGGAGAATTATCCAAAAACAAAAAGGACATTTTTTCCCAAAACACATTTTTCACCAGGATTCTCAAATTTCACATAAATGATCCAAAAACTCTGGAGGAAAGATTTAGGAAATATGTTTTAATTTTTCTAAGAACTCTGCAAAGCTGCCTTGAGTGCTATCTTTTAGCAAAAGGGCAAGGTGTAAATCTAAGTCAATAAATGAAGGGTGTGTTGGGGGGGAGTGTTGTTCTGATTTACCCTCTCCAACTGATGGATCTTCTCCTTCTCGGTCTGCACGTAACCCTCCTTCACAAACTGCACCAGCTTCTTGAGGACGGGGAGAGACGCTTGTTCACCTACAAAGGTTTCCATCAGTTGCACAAACTGTGGCAGGTTGAGGGAATCCTTCTCGAAGGCGCTGGTAGAAGAAGGGGGACCCCGGGCCTGGATCTCGATCATGTTCATGCGCAGGTCTACAAGGAGGAAGCAGAAATGTACAGCTGGAACGTTCCTTTGAAGCCTGGGGAATCTTTGAAGCCTTGAGGAAGCAAGGCGAAGGAAGCAGGCATTTAGGGGCAGACAGGGTTCGGTACACGCTGAGGGGTGGCAGACCGACCCGCGCGTCTACCTTTCCTTAGCTCGTCAAAGGCCTTGCTGGCCCCGAACAAGCAGAGCAAACCATCGTCCGACATCCAGGCTCCCCAGGAAAGCTGGCATCGGGCTGGCCCCGCGAGACAGCCAGGTGGCAGCTCTCCTGCTTTTTGTGGCGGGAGGGGGGTCAGGTTGCTTGAGGATGAAGAGATGTCACAGGCAGGGATGGGCTTAGATTGACCCAGGCCTGTCCTAGGAATCGGTTCAAGGCGGGCTTTCCCAGGGAGGAAATTCAGCTCAGCTTTGAGTGAGACTTTCTTCCAAGACATCCTTTTTCCTGCCGCTTCATCCTTGTTTTTATGTGATGCTTGTGAGTGATCTCTTCAGATATAAACTACCCTATTGAAAAGTCCCCCCCCACCCGCCCGTGGAATAGATCTGGCTTCCAATCCAGTGATGCGAAGAAAGCGTAATTAAAACAGTTTTGATGGTGGTTGAGGGTTTTTTTCTTCCAGGCTGTTTGGCTGTGTTCTGGATTTGATGGTGGTTGAGGGTTTTTTTTCCCCAGGCTGTTTGGCCGTGTTCTGGAGGTTTTTCTTCCTAATGTTTCGCCCGTCTCTGTGGCCAGCGTCTTCAGAGGACAGATGAAGAGGCCGGCCGCAGAGACTGGTGAAACATTAGGAAGAATATCCTCCAACCACGGCCAAAGAGCCCGAAAGAAACCACAACAACCATCAGATCCTGGCCGTGAAAGCCATCAAGAACACCACCAAAACAGTTTTGCTTGCCACAAGCAAAGTCCTTCAGATTACAGGCTTTGTCGAATGAGCAGGAGGACCTGCGCTGGGTGACTCCCTGAAAACACACCCTCCTTCAAAGGAAAACAGAGCCGCAGGGCACGCCGCACCTGGAAACCTGGAGTTCTCGTTGTCCCAGTCTTCCCGAACCTCCTTGCCGTAATCGGTGTACTTGAACGAGAGGTCAGAGGCCGGGAGCTCACCTGTGTGGGACCGCAAAGCAAGGAGGTCAAAAGAGGCGAAGCTGGGCTCTGGAGATGCCCCCCCCTGCTAAACTCAGGAGCCCGGTGGCAGGAGCCGGAGGGAGAACTCACCGGACCAGGGCTCTCCGCAGATCAGCTGGGGGGCTCCTCTGGGGGGGACCGGCTGGCCGGCTGGGAAGGTGGTGGGCAACCGCAGGTCATGGGGGGGGGGAAAGGATGGAGGGATGTGGGCGAAAAGGAGAGAGCAAGTTTATAATACTTCCTGACAGGGTAAGCACTGGAGCAGGCAGGAAATAAATGGGACTGGATGCCAAAGGAGGTAAAGCACCAGCATCGGAGACAGTGAAGGCTGGAGGCTGGAACCTTGTTTTTAAGGTACAACTATTTTCCGTTCCACCTTCAAAACGACTTATCGTGTCAATATTGACTTTCTTGTTATTAGAAAGCAGCTGAACGTGAGCCCGCCCGGTCACCCTGCCACTGGGAACGTGCCCACCGTCACTAGTACCTCCGCCAAGGGAGTGACGTTGTCCCTTGTTCAACCTTCCTCGTGCAACGAATAGCTTTCGCTCCCCGCCGCGAGTCCTGCGCGGAACAGGTTAAGCCCGACCTTCTGAGCCGGAGCTTTCCCGAATTCAAACCCGACTTCTCCGTCTCCACGGGCAGAGCCACGGAAGCCCGCGGTGAGAGGCGTCCAGGAGGCTGCGGGACCTTCCTCCCCCCCCAGGCCTTCCGATGGGCCGAGGGCGGTGGGGGGGCCTCTCTTTCCCGAGCCCCCCCTAGGGGAAGGGAAGGGGGCGATCCTGGGGAGGCGCTGTGTCCCAGGTGACCCTTGCTTGAGAAGGCCTGCAATAAGTCAAGTGACTGATTCCACAATCAAACAGTGATCAGGCATACAATAGATGGCTTCGAAAATGATGAATTCAGTTTGTGTGATTGCTCATTTATGTTCTGCAAATGCAGCAGGATTCTGACCATGATTTTTGCCCTCTGCAGTTAATAATATAGTGGTGCCTCGCAAGACAAATGCCTCGTAGGACAAAAAACTTACAAGACGAATGGTTTTGACAATGGGGTTGATCAATTGCAAGACAAACATTCCTATGACTGTGCTTCGCAAGACGAATGTTTTCTCTTTTTTGTTCCTGCCTCATGTTTGCTGATTTTTAAATGTTTTTCTATGATGTTTAAAAAGTTAACCTCCTCCTCCGCCCGGTCCCCGCGGGGGTCCCTCGCCCGTGGCGCTGCCCTCCGCCTCGGGCGCCTCCATCCTCGCCTCGGGGGCAGCCACGTCGACCTCGGAGAGGATGCCCTTGAGGATCAGGGTGAGGGCCGCCGCTTCCTCGGATAACCGCCGCGGCGGGGGGGTCGGGACCCGGGGCGTGGGCTCCTCGGAGGAGGCCTCCCCGTCGTCTCTCAGGTCTCCCCAAAACTCGCTGAGGTCAATGTCGTCCAGCTCCACGATGGGCCCTGAAGAGACCAAGGCAGGGAGGGAGGGAGGAGGCCCTCCGTGAGGTTTGCCGCTGGGAGTGGCAGGACCAGGGGAAGGGATGGAGGGAAACTCGCTGAGGTCAATGTCGTCCAGCTCGACGATGGGCCCTGAAGAGACCAAGGCAGGGAGGGAGGGAGAGAGGAGGCCCTCCTGAGGTTTGCCGCTGGGAGTGGCAGGACGAGGGGAAGGGATGGAGGGAAGGAAGGAAGGAAGGGTTTGTGGAAAGGATGCGGTGGGAACTCCCCATCAGTCAGGTGTTTTAGTCTATAGGAAGCAGCATGTTAGGCAGACACATTGGCAGCACACAAGCCAGGAGTGATTGATACCTTTTATGAGACGCCACTGAAAATTGCAACAAGTTGCAACCTCTCATAGATAAAATCCCACTTCTTCAGGCTTAGCACAATTCCCCCCCCCCCCCCGGTCCGGAAATACTTGGTAGCCCAA